GTTTACTAATGTTTGTTATTGATTACAGAAGCATCTATTAGATAAATGTTATGATCATACGACTATTAGTAGCACATTTGCTCGTCGCAGAGGGTTTTTGTTGCAGAGCGACGTTGGAGGAAACAATAACCTACCGTATTGATGGCGCGTTAATCGACCTTAACGACAAACGGAGTTTTAAACGATCATTGGTAACGGACAAATCCAGCTTTTTATCGTGCATTTCCGGAACATTGTTTTTCATGGTCATTCCATTAGATGTTTCGTAAATCCAAATCTCTCTGCTATTTGCTTTCTATTCTGCAAAATTTCGTATTGATAATGACAACCCACTACCCAACATTAGCGAATGCTCATCATCCATTATCTTCTAGCTGACGACATACATTTTTCATCACATTAAACTTCGGCTATGATAGCACTCAGCGTTGGTGGTGAGATTAGCACATTGTGAAAAATAACTCAACACTAGTGCCTATAATCGAATTTGAGGGAATACCTTCGGCTTTCGTTCACCTTAAGGATTGATTAAAGCCGAAACCTTTGTCCTTTTATTATTCTTTACCTATTTTAGTTTAAGCATAGGAGGAGAAGATTGAATTAATTGATTTCTGATCGAATAAATTCCAGTTATAACCACAATGATGCTGAAATTTTTGCAAAAACTCCGAGCTGCAGGTGTCTGCGGTAGGGATCGAACACGCTATTATCTTTTCCGTGGGTTTACGCGTTCGCCACCACACCATGTGGGTTTTTCGTTTCGCATTTTTCTCAGCCGTATTGTTGACGCACAGGTTCCATAAGAAATCAAAATACAGTTAGTTCATATCTATTGTTAAACGGAAAAAAGCCAATGAAAAGGAAAATTCAGTATATGCGAGATCGAGAAAGAATCGAATGAAGCACCAGAAAAGATATAAAACGAGGCGATTGCGCAGAAAATCGTGGCAATTTAGTTCAGTGCTTACGAAATCTCTTCAAACAGCTTGCATTAAATGATAGCAGGGAATAGTGAAGAAATGGATCATCGGTCTTTTTAAACAATAATGAGCCTTGAATAGCTTTATTAGATCCAAATGAATGATATCTTTCTGTACCAAACAGTGATCAATAATGATTTCTCCAGGAAGTAAGCATTAGTAACTTTCTAGTTTTTCTGAAGTGCACTGGTGTTTCAATATCGCAAAGATAAGTGGCTATCGTCAAGGATAATCAATATGTGGTTGTTTAAAACTTTCTTTTTAGCACAGTTGAACTAGAAATCCTATAGTTCCCAAGATCGACTTTCTATTAACCTCGGCATTGGATTATAAATCTGCTGTTCTCTTTTTTACAGCAATCGCGAGTTTGTTGTTCACCGCATGTTATATTGTGTTGTGTTATACTTGTAAGGAAGTAAAGGTGTGCTGAATAACAATCTCGCGATTGCTGTAAAAAAGAGAACAACAGGCTTAGAAAAGCTATAGTTATCATCTAAAATCACTAGTCCATCTCTGCCCCACAGTGGTATTCTGATAAAATGGCATCAATAACTGTTCAACCAAAGTATAATGTACTTCAGAGTCTCGAAGTGAAAGCTTATGCGAACAAAATTATTAAAAATATTTTGCCAGTTCATTCGACAGAACGAGTATAATGGTCATATGAATCAGTAGATGAGACGTTTTTGTAAAAGCAGCTGAAAAGAAGCTTAAAAGAAAATGGAGAATAAATCTTTTGGGAGAGAGAAAAAATCACAAGTGAAGCTGCTCTTTATCGCTGAAAAAAAGGGTGCGCCGTTCAATCGACACTAACATCCAATCTAGACTTTAACATAGAATCATACATCTGCACTTAGACACACACATACACAAGTAGTCACATACACACACAGTCGTACACATACACATACACGTAGGTACACACGTACTTAAAGGATGAAGGATTAAGCGTTCGGCGCTGATCAATCTCTGCGGAATGCGTCATACATTCAATTTCATTATAAATCTTAGAGGCGATTGAATGCACATTTAGGCTACACAGGGACTTCCGGCGGCCTAATGATGTATCAATCAGTGTTTCTTCATTCCTTCAGACAAGCCTGGCTTCAATTTACTGATCTCGGAAAAATGGTGAGCTAAGTTAGGCCGAGACGAAGGATCGAACCGAGGGCCACGGTTCTATTGCAGGGCACCTCCAACCATTGTGCTACGTTCACGCGAATATGTGATAAATGTGAATTTTTCAGTTTAAAAAAATATTTCTCTCTAAAAGGCTCTTTGGTGAATATTATGAAGAACATGGAGAACAAGAACAAAGAGGGCAAAAATCTATCTTAGAAAATGTGGTGAGTTTTCATATCTGCTAATCCTAATATCTTACGCTGTACATAGGAGTAAAGAAATTAAGTAAAACATGGCACAAAATAGTGGCTGAGCTTCGGATAGAAGGCAACGAGATCCATGAAACAACACACTCAACGACAAGTGTTAAGCATTAAACCATCGGCAGTTGTTTTCGACGGGCCACGTTTTGCAAGTGAAGCCACCTTAAGGACATATTTAACTAAACTGAAAATACGATTATTGTTAAGCATTCGAACGATGCCATTACATCAAAACAATTAGGACTGCTTCGTTTTGTGAAGTGATGGGCATCAATAGCTCACCTCTTTGTGTAATCAGTTCAAATTACATACTCTGCTGGGTTAACCAACATATCCTTGACGGTGTGCATTGACCCCAATTCGTTTTCGTCCTCTGCCACGTAAAGTATTTATTGCGTTGTGCTTTTATATTCAACCGATAGCGCTTCCACTACAGATTTTCCGCCAAAAGCGGTTCGGGAAGATTTATATCACACCTTTGTTAGTTTACAAAAAACTGTTTTTCAGACTTCCATTTGGTAACCCACTGATATTGTTACCTATGAGGATGACATAAACACGCCAACGATGGCAAGCGTATGGAAGACGAGGAGGGTGCTAAGAAACCCTTTGCTTCCGTACAAATGAAAGTTTATGGTGCACTGTTTCTGTATTATTTGTGGAGGATGGAAGAGCACAACGGTCTATATGTATTGAATTCAATACAGGGCGTAAAAAGCTAAAGATAAAGCTCTCGGCGTTGATCGATCTCTGAGGGATGCGCCATGCATTTGACATCATTAAACATAGTTGGGTGTGATTGAATGCACATCTGGCCTTTACAATGACTTGCGGTGTCTACCGATGTATCGGGCCAGTGCTGCTATCCTCCCAGACAAGTCTGGTACCAATTTGCCGACCCCGGAGGGATGGAAGGCTTGGTGGGCCATGGACGTGGGGAACGATTCCATGTGCTTGTCGCAGTGGCGCCTCCAACCACTGCTCCACACGCGCCTTTACAGGGCGTAATCTATGAAATAACTAGGCGATCCATTTGTATGAAAACATATCATTTAATATTTAGCGCATATTTTAAGAAAAACAAGTCACAATATCATATTTATACGAATGAAATATGAAGCATAAGAAACTGTGAAAGGTTAATAGTCGAACTTAACAAACTTGTGAAACATAAAGCTATGCTGACTTTTTGAGAAATCTCAACTTTCTGCAAACACCAAATCCTTGCAGGAATCCATAGAAGAGATCGAATGTGTAGAAGAGTGTGTTATAATGAAGATTATTTTAATCGAACATCGTTAGCGCTTAGCCTTTTTCGACTCGCCAGCTTTTGTATATTACTAACTGCACATACGACGTTCACCAAAGCACTATACCTCCTGAGAAGCCATCGTTAGTTAAAATGGAACTTGCTTTCACAACTGCCCTTGATTTTTACTGCAATAAACTGTAGATGATAGAATAGTCAATACATTATATTGGAAATTGTTCTGCCTTCGGTGAATATGTATTCGATGGCAATAGTTTGTTCTTTTTCGTGCTCTGCGGATAGATTGTTGATTTTGTAGGCGATCGTAACAGTCCTGAAACAGTACTTATCTCTTCTCTGTAAATGACGACGTTCAGGACATGATGTACTACCGACTTCACTAATAGTCTTGTTCATTATTTAGTAGCCTGAGGGGATCTCAGTGAAATCGATTTATGTCCGATACGAATTGGAACAGCTCAATGGATTCTGTTCTCCCAAAGGATATGAAGATTCTCACATTTTTCGATCGCCATACTTAAACGACTTCGCTACTAGGTAGCTATAGTAAGTTCTTTGACCCGACATTGATGTACTTCTACCTGAGTCTTCGGATAGAAACACCAAACTTATCCCGATTTTTTGAAGCAACCTCGTGTTAAGTTGTTATTCAATTGAAAGAGACATTTGTTCCCAGATTGTTTCACTATGCTAGTTGATGAACTCTTAATGTATATCGCAATTCGGCACCTAGGAACACCCAGAAACTACGATGATGTCGTAAATCATTGGTGGAAAGCACGATACGATGTAATGGTGAGAAACGTGGGATTAAATGCAGTAGAACAGATTGCACAGGGCAATATCACACATTTCTTCGTCAACGCACAAAGTTAAATATCGGATGTATAAATAATTATACGGTCTTCTCTTTGTACAAGAGTTATTCAGAAGCTAAGAGTAAAAACTGTCTTTGTTGGACTACCTCATTAGAGTGTCGTTTTCCTCAGAAAACTAAACGGTTCATACTATTAGGGTCACGAAATGAGGATGAGATGGGACGCTTCACTTGGAATCCCGGGTAGGAGTGGGCAAACGTCTGTAATCCCCGCTGCTCCAACAGAAGCATAATCGCGAATCGGTGGATTTCCTTCCGATTAACAAGAGCTAGTGATTTATGCTTGTAGTAAGGATCAGCGCTTCAAATTCCAACCTATTTAGCATTATAAGAAAAAAAAAACCTTCCAACAAAGCAAGTACTAATCTACTAGAATTTGCGCTGAAGTGCACATGATCCGAAATCATAAGCCACCAAGTAATCGCAGCAAGAAATTGCTATGGAATTTCAAAGTTTTAGTTTCTAATTGAGAGCAATGAAGTAATAACCTTGTTCATAGATACTTCTACCGAGTAATGGATTCACTCCTAGTTCGCCATAACCAAGTCCCATTCCTACACCATAGCCGAGTCCTGCTCCAATACCCGGTGCTATACCTGCAAATTGAGCGGTAAAAAGCCTAATGAATAAATAACGAAAAAATGTACGACAACAGAAATGAAAAACGAAATTTTAAGAATGAAATCTACCTAAACTGGGAACGTTTCCCAATGGACATATGCCACACGAACGTGCACACATACGTCTCATAATAATCGGATTAATGGCACATTGTCCTAAACATTGATGTTGAGGATAAACAATTGCAAAAGAATTCCTTTAACTGCTTAGTTGTTAAAAGCCGACAGAAGTTCATCTCATTCAATCAATTGTTAGGACAAAATTGCTTGATGTAAATCATCTGCATCACATCTGTTCCTCCACTAATCATTGGATAGTTCAACATAACGCTACTAAGTGTTCATATGTTGCTTCTGCGGTCACGAGTTTCCCATTAGTTTCTCATGGTCGAGAGGATGAAAAACAACAAACTTTTCGCTTAGCTGACTACCCAACCGGGACTCCTGCTCATCCGTTTTGTGGTACTCAGTTGATATCAGAGCGCCCATGATCCTCGATCATCGAGAGAGACACGGAATCCCTAAGCCTCTCAAATTCTCCTTCTTCCATTTGCACGAAACTGGATACTGCTACACCACCTACTCTACATAAACAGACTAATCGCACTAGCGGCTTTTATGCTGTCCAGACCGTTCGCTGAACTACCGTGAAGTCAAGGTGTTTGACACGGATCCAAGTGTTATGGGCATTCCACGGGACGGTATCGATTTATTCTACCATAAGATTCACAAAGAAATCGTTCGTACTGTTTAGTTCTAGGAAATAATCGTTTATTACACTAACTTTCTGATTTATAGACAAATGAAGTAAAATGTTGGTTTCGCAGATATTCTTGTCATGATGAACTCACACAGCTTCTCCTTTCCTTGTATCAGTCCATCATGAGTGTCGATGTAAAGTTTTTCAAACTTCCGATTTAGAATTTACCTTATCGTCAAAATTGCCTATGATCCCGCTGGTTATGCCTATAGAAACCTTTAAGATCCATGTAAACCGATTCAATCTCACTTTCGTCGTAGATTTATGGTGAAATACAAAAGACTAGGACTCTTAGGCTCGTCTATAATTTACATATTTTTACTCATAAGCGTCGACTCTAACGCTGCGGTTCGGAGGAATCGATATCCTTGGCTACATGTTCGAAGACTTTCGTGGACGATGAATGCGATAGGAAAAATCGAATACAAGAAGTGCGGGATCCGCACAGCAGGTTGCGCAACGAGTTAGGTTAAATTTTAAAAAATATACACAGTACAGTATGCAAACACGTAAGGGACCTACACAGGCATGAATTAAGATGTTTACTTATGTGTGAAGTGTACAATACAGGGCAGCGGAGTAGATAGAGGTGGAGAACCCATCCCCGAGATCCAACAGCTCCTCAGAGATTGTATATGTCATGGTCTTTCGCGAGCTATGTATAAAAGAATATACAACTCTTCCGAGGCGAAGCTTAATCTAGCGATTATTCCTCGAGTCAAGATCAGCCACCGTAAAAATATGATCTGAACCTTCTCATAAATGACTCAGTAACGATTAAGATTACTTGAATCCTCCTAATTTTCGTTCAGTAACTATTATCCGTTCTTCTTTTTTATTCTCTCCGACAAGTTCACTGCAGAACATTTACGCTAAGGGGCCGTTAGAGCAGTAGTAGTGATCCTTCTAATTACGTGGACGGCCCAGCACACCTTTGCCCTAGTTTGAGCCCGCAAAGAATCTACCAAGTTTTTCATTCCTCCCAGGTTGAAAACTGGTATTAGACTTGAATGGAACAAGCCCACTCCCTACGCAGAACGGCTATCTAGGGATTCCGTGAAGCACTATCTCGATCAAGATTCAACGATTCTGGTAACGACGATGAAAATTCCTCAAGTAGCAAGCGAATCTACATGCTAAGGTGTTCGAAGATATTCGCAGATAGTGAGTGCCAGAAAACGAATTTAGTGCACGAAGTGCTGGTATCCACACAGCGTGATATGATACGTGTGATACCGATCATGCAACAGTAAAAAGAAACATTATTTACCAGTGCTGGCCCATATTGGGCATTGCATGCTGGTATCCACACATAGACCACTAACAGCTGGATCAATAAACGCCCTAAACACAGATTGGAAAAAATATGATGATTAGATTACTACTGTTAAGCAAATAATAAACACGGCGATAAGGTCCTGACAAATGAAGCGCTTACCCAGACATAGCGTATGGATTGGCGGCATTATAAGGATCCGGAGGTATAGCATAGGAGGGTGATCCCCAACCTGAATGTTCATCAATATGAAATTTCAAAAAACAGGTTTCACATCGTCTTGTGGTTCTGTTAATATCGAACCACTGAAAGATACCCTATGTGCTCTAAGGTGGTATTGTTGTAACCGCTGGCTTCGAGAAAACGTAGCTTGAAAAAAATTGGAAAAACCTCTACTGCTGCAATATTTCAATCTTTAACAAAGCTTTTCGGCCGTCAATGAAGGTACAGTAAAGAAGGAATCATTTCAACGAGAAGATATTGCGGCCTAATTCCATATAATGATGAGATCATGAGTAAACCAGCACACCCTTAATCCGACCACCTTATACGTCAATTTTAGATCCCTTAACCATTCTCAGCCAGTCTTAAGGTTACGATCATCTGTGCCACCTGTCCACCCGTGGATCGTCGAATGAATCGAGCCTGTGCCCGTAAATCTTCCATTTCCCATTTTGCGTGTAAGAGAGCCCCAAGGGTCCTGCTCGCCCTATGGACCTGCTGAACATCATGTCTGTGCTCTCCGGTTTTCATGAAGAACTCTGATCAGCAGGTCGTGGTCTCCCTGCCCTGCGTTTGACAACCCAAGGAATCCAGTCGTTAACGAATCTTGACCATCGGTTGTCATTCAGACTCATTCAGGCTCACTACCTGCTCGGCCAGTCTCATCGTTGACAATTTGGCATATAGAACAGCATCTACGATTTTTCAGCAATGCCGTAGGAAGGAGCCTCACATCCGTTTCCTCAGCTACGTGATACGAGATGCTCCTACTAGCACCGTCCTTTCGACTGCGCGTTCAATAACGCTGAGTGATCTTTCATCCTGCTTACGCATAGACCATGTTTCTCACGCATACGTTAGCGCAGGAAAAATCGCGTAGTCGAAAAGAAGGGCACAGAGTCAGGTGTTCTCTGTTCTTCCACTACATCCTCGATGCGCTTGAAAGCCCCCCATGCCACTCACTCCTGCTCAAACCTGGAGCTAAGTCGTCCATCACGTTGAGTTCCTAATCTAGATAAACATGGCAGATATTAATTCCGTTAAGCATGAATTAGTCATAAAATACCAGTTCGTTCCACATGAATCAGTTCTCAAGAAGCGATGGGAAACTCCATGAGATCGATACACACAGTTTGTCTTGCTAGACGTACATAGAAACTTTCCATGAAGAATTTACGATACAATTATTTCTTCAGCTTTTGGTGATTTTCTTCGTGTTTTTGTTGAGCAAACGCGAGGTGTTACTATTCTTTGTTAACAAAGAATAGTAACACCTCGCGTTTGCTCAACAAAAATACGAAGAAAATCACTTGATCAATGCCGAGGTTAATAGAAAGTTGGTCGTGGCAGCTTTTGGTGAATTTTAAGTTGACTTTGGTTTTCAAACTTTAGAGAGATAAATGTACTACCATAATAAAGACACCGCGTAAGCATAGCAGGAAACCCAAGTATTTGATAAGTGCTGGATATTTTAAGAAATCTCAATCCTCGGGAAGTGATCGGAATCGGCAAGGAATCGCTACACATCGTCTGAATGCTAACTTTTTATTCACTGCTTACCACAGTTTTCCACGGCAAGGTATTATCTGAAGTACAACCACAATGATGCTGAGGCATTTGCAAAACTCCGGACTGCAGGTGTCTGCGGTGGGGATCGAACACACTATTACCCTTCTCGCAGCCTAACCAATTCACCACCATACCATGCGGGTCCTTCGTTTCGCCTGTCTCTCAGCTAATTTTCTATCTACCAGTGCCATCAGTAATCACCCTTCCATGACAATGATCTGGAGAACAAAATCGGCGCTGAACCGAGTTAGGCTGAAGGTGTAGTCATAGTTGGACTTACTAGGCATACATGGGATCTCAATCCATTACCAGTGATACCGTATCTTACCGCAACTCGATGTGATTTTAGAACGGCACAAATATTTGCTTCTCAAACAATTTACAGAACTTAAAGTGCCGCCGATTTTCTCTCGTAATTTGAAGCGATTATCCGATTCTCTAGGATTCTAAACAGTAGTTTTCTGAGATTTTTTATTAAACCGTACCAAATGACGGCAGATAACCAGCAGTGGTAGGTAGACAGCCAGTAACACAACGCGTACATGAAATGAATATGTAAATTACGAGAGCTTGCAGTATTTTTATTGTAAAGAGAAGATGGACGAAAAGTTAAGGAGAATTTTGTAGTATTTAATATTTATATTCAACAAATATAACTCATTCTTCTATGCTCAACTTTATACACATTATCCACTTCTAGCTTGAGTTCCACATGTGGCGTAGTGGTCGGAGGCGCCCTGCGACAGACACATGAGATCGGTCTTCGCGCCCATGGCTCACCAAGCCTTCCATTCCTTTGGGGCCTGCACTTTGGCGCCAGACTTGTCTGGGAGGATAACAGCACTGGCTCGATACATCGGTAGGCCACCGCGAGTCATTGTGAAGGTCAGATACGCCTTCAATCACCTCCAAACGGTGCTTAATGAAGTCGAATGCATCGCGCATCCCTAAGGGATTGATCAACGCCGAGAGCTTTATCCTTTTATCCTTTTGCCTTGAGTTCTCACAACCAAGGCCATTTTGTCTTTTCAGTTTTATGAAAACATAAACAACAATTGCTAGTTGCTAATGGTAGTTCAGCATTACTAGCCATTCTACTGCTTTAGATCAAGCTCACAGTTATGTGGAACAACTCTCTGTGCACATAGTACAATAGAGTAAAACAAATGGCATCTGCAATAAATACTGCAAAAAGTACTCGTTGCGGTTGAACCTGCCCTGCACGTACAAAGACTCTATACAGGGTCCGCAAACCAGTACACTTGAAGTGGTGGCACTTGCATTCAACAGAAAGTTGGGCTTACTATGGTTTAGGTCCCAGCAAGAAATTGACAGCAGACTATTTTGGTATGCTCTAAAAGTCACCTACTCATGGATCTATCTTTTACCGTATTTACTAGTGCTTTTAGAGGTGAAGTAACGCTGAATCCTACCATATCTTCCAAGATAGTTGCCATAGTACTGTGCTGAGACGGCGTGGATTAACACAAATGCTAAATTTTTAGATTAAATAATCTGAAAAATAGACAATGTAAAGCATACCAGAAGAAAAGCATATTTAATATTTTTTACTCATTTAAGTACTGATCACGTCCCTGATGACGTTGTGTGGTTCCTATCTTCCTATCTTCGCCAAAAAAAGAAGCAGCGTAGAAATATAACTCACAATGAAACCAAACACTCACCTATCAACTCAACAATCATGATTACTACGAGAGAGAACTGGCTGTGTTGTTAGTTGCCTTTATATGGTTTCGGATAGACGCAGGCTTAACGAGTGAAAAATCGCCTTTCATCGAGACTTACGAGGATGAACAACTGGTCGGCCGAGTTGCTGGATTATTTCGGACATGCTGGCGATTTCTAGGCACCCCTGAACGAGATTCACATTGTCGAAACCGTTCCGATCATGCGTGACCGTTACGACGGAACCAGTTACAATCATCGAGCTTTACGCTTATGTAACTAGTAAACATGAAGTGACTCAATCTGCGATACCTTCATAGATTGTTAAGCTAATGCGAGGTTGATAAGGATGTTTATTCGGCCAACGTCTCGGCGTCTTCGTCTTCCACAGAGCAAATAATCCGAGTCGATGGCTTACAGTCGTTCGTAGTCCCGATGTGGTATCTTCGTCTTCGTACCAATCTGCAGTGTCTCAAACCGAAAGCCTCCACGTAACAATTCTATAGGCTCAATTGTTATTTGAGTCACCTATATCTCCCTGAATAAATTCGTTGATTACAAATTGCAAAAAACGAAGAAACCTAAAAGTTCTGGTTCTCCTTGTTCCTATATTGGTAATACTGATAAAAGCCTTTGCTATTGATTTATTCCTTTAGGATGCGCCACTTTCTTTTTTACTTCAGTGAAAGTAAATTCGTAAAGGTGAATGAATGCACACATGGCCTATCCAATGTATTGCCGAAAACGATCGCTTTATCAAAGCAGTGTTTTTGTCCTCCTAGGCGAGAATGGCACGACAGAGTGCATAATTACGGTGACCAATAATTTGTTAGCCAACATTTCACTATTTTCTTGGTAATATGAGGACGACGTTCTTATTACAGCATTTATTCGATCATAATACTGACGTGTCGGTGGTTTTGCCTTCGTGAGAGCCCGGAAAGGTCGAACCAAAACGCAATCTACTCAGCCAAACACTAGCCATTACCCCACCAGACAAAACTTAACACACAAACCTCTAATCGCGTAGTAAACAGCTCCTTCTAAACATTCACCGTTTTCTTCTCTGTAAGCCCTCCAGTTATTTGATGAAGATGAGCCGCACAGCGTGTTACAAGGGCGAGGAATGTGCCTGGCCTAGCTCAGAGAATTCGCATGAGGTCACGCGTGATCACGAAAGACTTTTCCATGCAGTTCATTTTTGGATTTTTGGAATTAATACAAAACGCTTTAAGAGCTTTAAGCGTTGATGTTCTGGAGTCCTGTGTGAGAATAACGAATTCTACGTCAACGTCTCCGTTACGTTTCTGGGTTCTATGCGCGCCAAGTGGAGTGTCTGAGTTCAATTTAAATTTACCGACTAGTTGTTCTTTTACAAGGACGGAAAGTGGTCTACCTGTTTCGCCGACGTGTTCGGTTCGCCCTCACATGCTTTACGAGAGATCAGCTATACCGTACCCGAACTCATGCAATCACCGTCCCTACCATTAGGGCAAATTATGCAGTTTTTCGTCATACATAGACAGTCATACAGGCGGTTACGAGCTAGCGAGCGTCTTTAAGTGTCCGGTGGTGTTTCTATCACTTATGCGAATTTTCTGAACCGGAACGTCTTAAACAGCGTTTTTTGTTTTGGTTTTGCTTATTTCGTTTAAAATAAAGATACAGATGAATCGGACCCTATTTTCACTAGAGTTATGGTCTCAGGAGTGTAGTCCTTCCTCTAAACCCTTCCCGAGAAACCACGATTCCATAATCATTAGACATAGCTATTTGCCGCCCCAATTTCAAGGATTCTTCCTCCTGCTCTGTTCCTGTATACGCCACTGGAGCTGTTCGATACATGTTTCTCACGAGCGCCCTTTTCGTAAAGGAAGGGTGAAACTATGTGATTTTCTCTGAGCACCTCGAAGTGACTGCGTTTCTTTCGACGTCGGTGCTATTAAATCATTGGGGAAGACCTTTTTTCATTGATAAGATAACAAGTGGTTGTTACCACATATTTATTCGGCTAACGTAATGTTTCGAAGACTTCTTTTTCATCGCAGCCGATGATCCGACTCGATGATCCACAGTCGTTCTTCTCGACGTGGGCGTCTTCATCATTATTATCATTTCGAAGTGCTTACAGAAGTTCCTAAGGTGGGAAATATCAAACCATATTTCGAACTACACAGATAAAACTTAGTCTCTAAAAAAGGAGTGCCTCCGACAACGAACGAGTCGACTCTTGGTAAGCTGAAGGACATAGAACTCCACCGTCGTCTCAACACACAGTTGACGAGTGTTTTCTGCAAAAATGCTGAATGGCATGAAGTCGACACTGTTTTCTTCAGCTTGATTGGTTTACTCGTTACATTCAGTTAAATGTTAATCAAGTTTGAACAAATTGCTATTCTGATTAATGAGTACTAGTAATTTTTTGTCGGCTATGGACTTCACAGGGCGCATGTGGGGCAGCAGTATGAGGCGCCCTGCAATACACGTAAGATCGATTCCTGCGCCATTGGCCCACCAAGCCTTCCAACCCTTCGGGGTCGGCAAATTAGTACCAGACTTGTCCGGGAGGATGATAGCACTTGCTTAGTACATCGGTAGGCCATAGCGAGTCATTGTAAAGGCCAGAATGCATTCAATCACCTCCAAACGGAGCTCAGTGGATTTAAATACACGGCGCATCCCTACGGAATTGATCAAAGCCGAGAGCTTTATCCTTTAACTTTTACGGACTTCACGGTTTTTTGACGTTAAAAAATAGTTTTTTCAATAGCTCGAAAGACCGACTTTCTATAAACCTCGGCATAGATAGTTGATATATTTATTTATATGATCTTATAAACTGATCTTCTTAAGTTGACGCGAGGTTGGTACAGGTCTTCGTTGTCGTTGTCGTTGTTGTTGATCTTGTTGGTCGATGGCTGACGTTTCGGCGACTTCCCGCACGTAACATCACGGCTCTGAGGAAGGCGAAGTCGCCGAAATATCAGCCATCGATCAACGATATCAACAACAACGACAACGACAAGGAAGACCTGTACCAACCTGGCGTCAGCTTAAGATCAGTTTATAAGATCATATAAATAAAAGTTTCTCAATAATTAGAGGGTTCCAGAAGTTGACAGTATGACGGAATTGTAGCACAGACTTTGCTCTACCATTTTATGGGAATGGATGATATGTATACTATCATTTACTAGGTGTTAGTACAGTCCATCCACGGAGGTGTCTCATATGATGGATCTTAAGCCGGTTAGTCTCGAGGCTAGCTACGTCGCGCGTCCACAGGTGGCGGATATGGGGTTTCGCTCACCAAAGAGTCCGTATGTTTCCCTGAGACGCAGGTGGATCAAGGGCATGGACTCCTTGCTTTTGCCGCGCCGATTTGTCACATACTTTCTGCACTTACGAGGCGTACTCACGCACGCATGTGTGGGTGCATTCGAGTTTATGCGGATTGTATTCTACGAGTCAATTCGGCCAAAATCTGCAATGAAGTGAAATGTATGGGAGGCGGTTAAGAATCGCCTCCAGCAAGTAAGCTCCATGTCCACTTTGATAGAGACTGGCAAGCCACCCTTGAGTATACCAAGTCCCCGTGTTCAGAGCCCAGCAAGCTATGCGTAGGTATCAAAAATACTAAACGTTAAAAAAAAGGGCCTCAATCCCCTGACCCCGAAACAGCCCCCAATTTTGCATCGTTGGGTAGGACGAGTGCGGAGAGGCTGCTAAAATCTCAAGGCTAATAGAAGCTGCCTGGGTCGTGAAGAACTAAGATGATGATCTGTACCTACAATGCACGTACACTTGCATCCGAGTCTTCGATAGAAGACTTGATCATGCAGGCAAAAAGAATAAAGATACTACGTCATCGACCAGGCCGACAGGAGACGACGCTACCCATTCAACGCCGTCTATGAAACCGGAGAACTGTTCCTCGGGACACACGACAGTAGAGTCGGCGGCGTAGGCGTTCTCGTCAACACGAGTTTGTCCATGAACACCGATTCATTCGAACAACTTACAACTCTAATCAGACAATGTTATACTTTTTTATTTTCTGCCTATTATAATTTCGCGGCAGGGTACTAAGCGGAATACAACCACAACGATGCTGAGATATTTGCAAAACTCTGGACCGCAGGTGTCTATGATCGTCAGCGGGTCTGGGGCGCCCAAATCAATCCCGCTGACGGGTGATTACTGTGGCAAAGATCGATAGAAATAGCTGAGAGACAGGCGAAACAAAGGACCCGCATGGTGTGGTGGTGAACGCGTTAATCCCCGGAAAGGACAATAGCGCGTTCGTTCCCCACCATAAACACCTGTGGTCCAGAGTTTTGCAAATATCTCAGCAACGTTGTAGTTCTAATCAGGCAATTGCGATTAAAAAGATGTGGATCAATACCGACTTTGACAATCTTTGCCGTTTAAGCGCCGACATCAAGCTACGACAAAGAAGAAGTCGAACCGTTCTATATGGACTTGGAGAAGTTCTACAGAGAAGACCATTCTTCAAGGTCGTCATTGGAGATTTCAACGCCAAGATTGGACCAAGAAGAACTTTTGAAGAATGTCACAACGCGAGCCACAGATTAGAACGGAACGAACAGGGTAAGCGGCTCTATGAGTTTATCACAACGACCAAGACCATTCATGGTAGCTCGTAATTCCAGAAGCCCCAATCTAAACGCTGGGCGTGGGAGTCTCCCAATGGAGAGTACCATAACGAAATAGACCACATCATAGTAAATAGGTTTTGCCTAACCGATGTCGCTGTTGTCCCAAAATTTCACACGGGGGTTAGACCATCATCTTCGTGCAAAAATCTATCTCGCGGAAAGGAGAGGAAGCAGCGAAATTCAAAAAATGAATTCCCAAAAACCACCATAAACTGGGAATTATTCAATTCATTAGTCGACTGTTGGGAAGATGCCGCTGTCGATAAAATCGACGAGGAATACAATTGGCTCATTCAACATCTTCACTTTAGTGCTATGAAAGCTGAGAGCTCGAAAGTGACCAAGAGACGTTTGTCTCCAGAAACTCTCGAGCTGATACGCTAGCTTGGAATCGCACGAGATGCAGGCAACCGCGAACTAACGTCCGAACTTGCAAAACAATGCAAGCAGGCGGCAAAAGAAGATTTTAAAGAGAGAAGAGCAGTAG